AAATAGTCATACCATTCAACAATTCGAGGAACAACTTTAGAAGAAGTCGAGGGTAGAGAAACTTGAACTCTAACTTCTTGTATTTCCACATTTCGTGGTTTCAAACTCCCACTAACTTCATCATTCTCAATGAACCTAACATTTCCAGTTTCAACAATTTCAGTACTATACTTAGGACAATAAAATCTATACCCCTTTGATTTTTCTAGATAACCATTGAAAAATCCACTTATTGTTCTTGAATCCAGTTTCTTTTCATGTGGATTATAATTTCTTGCTTCTGTCGGGCAACCCCAAACATGTAGGTGCCTTAAATTAGGTTTTATTCCCATCCATAGTTCAAAAGGAGTCTTTAAAACTGCCTTAGTAGGAACCCTATTTTGCAAATATATAGCAGTCATTAATGCAAACATCCACAAAGAAATGGATAAAAAAGAATCGCTTAACTTATACCTAACCATGTCTATTAGAGTACGATTACGCCTTTCAGCTACACCATTTTGTTGTGGTGTGCCGACATAGTGTATTGAAAACATATCAAGTCTTTCAAGAAATTTAACAAATGGACTAGGGTTTTGTCTAGTTTCATCATACCTTCAATAATATTCACCATATCTATCAGATCTAATGATTTTCACATTTCTGTCTAATTGCCGTTCAATTTCATTGACATAGATCTCTAAAACATTTACAGCTTGAGACTTTCATGTAGCAGATAGATATAACCATAACGTGAAAAGTCATCAATAAAGGTGATAAAATACTCGTCTTTACCAAATGATGGAACATCAAAAGGCCCACATATATAGATGTGTATTATTTCAAAAGGGCCCACATATATCGGTGTGTATTATTTCAAGAAGTTGTGTGCTTCTTGTGGCTCATTTCTTTGTGCGTTTGGTTTGTTTGCCCTTAATACAATCTACACTGGTTTCAAAATCAGTAAAATCCAAGTCAGGAAGGATTTTATTCTTTACTAGTCTTTCTATCATTTCCTTAGATATGTGATCCAAATGTTTATACTTCAAATTAACAAATCACGTTTTGTACCAAATTATGATGCAATGTTAAAAGTGTCTCAACAAAAAGGTTATCAAGCTTTAATTTATATAAGCCATTACAAAGGTAGCAGAACCGATAAGATGATTTATTTTAAACAAACTTAAACATCCATTTCCACCATTAAAGAAATATTCAGAAGAATCAAGTTTTGATAAAGAAACTAAATTGCGAGAAATAGAAGGTACATAAAGATTTTGAAACAAATCTAAATGATGTCTTGTATCTAAAATCAAACGGTAGGTTCCAATGGCTTCAACAGAAGCTTTGACTCGATTGCTTATGAGAAAAAAACTTTTCATTTGGATTTATGGTCCGGATTGAAATGAATCCTTGCATCGTATTGGTAACGTGGGTGGAACATCCGAAATCAATTCACCAAGTATTATAAGGAACATCTGTCAAATTAGATTCGAAATATACATAAGAAATAATTTTACCTTTACTTTCGTACCATGCCTTACGTTTGAAGCAGTCTTTTTTATGGTGTTCAGGTTTACGACAGAAATGATACGTATCTTTCTTGTGTTCTTTATTATAGATTTGGGCAGAAGACTCATTTATCTTTAGCGGTCCTTGCTTAATGCCCTTTCCAGATATTTTCTTATATTTCTTTCCAGCACCTTGATGACTTACGAGATGAACAGAATGAGTTCCTTGATTCTTAAGCCTTGTCTACTCTTACACAAGCATGCTGTACAATTCATTCACATTTCATTTGTCCTTTAAGGTATTATAGTTCATATGGAATGGACCATACTCAAGAGGCAAAGAGTTGATAATAAACTGTACTAGAAAACTCTCATCCACAGTTATCCTAAGAGTCTTAAGTCTTGCTGCAATGTTACACATTTCAGTAACATGCTCATGCATGGTATGTGAACCTTCAAATTTCATGGTGGATAGGTAACCAACAGAGTGCTAACGAGTGATTTATTAGCTATAGACTTTGAATTTAGTTTTTATTGATAGTGTAACTTAGATGATTGAATTAGATATTGGTACTAGAATAATATAGTTGTGGGTTGGCTTTGAATATACTCCTGAGAGTTTCTAAGTACGTACATAGCCCTGTCCATAAAGCCATAATTTTGAAAGATTATATGGCTCTCAGGAGGATAATTGCAAGCCTCCCATGGCTTTGTGACCCAGCTGAGATTCACACTGAATCAGTTTCACTTGCTGACGAAGCTAAGGCTGATGCCATTTCAGCTGTCATTGATCAAAGAGATGTTCCTAATTGGGACATCCCTCTTCACTTGGCTGTCAAATTTGGTGATGACACTGTTACTGAGATGCTTATGCTTGCTGGGGCAGATTGGAGCTTGCAGAATGAACAGAGGTGAATTGCACTCCAGGAGGCAATTTGCAATAGGGAAGAAAGGATTGTAAAGATTATGGTTCAGCATTACCAGCCATTGGCTTGAGCAAAATGGTGCAGAAGGTTACCTCGGTTAATTGGGACGATGAAAAGGATGCGGGATTTTTACATGGAGATCAGTTTTCATTTTGAGAGCTCAATGATTCCTTTCATTTCGACAATTGCTCTTTCTGACATGTACAGAATATGAAAGAGGGATACAAATTTGAGGGCAGATATTATTTTGGTTGGTTTTGATGGTTTCAAAATTCTTCTTTTCCTTGGTGATGGTTCTGAGGACGAAAAAGTTCCTTTGGGTTACTTTGCATGGTGTTGCACAAAGATAAGGAGGTCATGAAAGCTTTAGATGGTGCAGGAGCTCCAGTAATTGAGGCAAATGTGCAGCAGGAAGTGAGAAACTTGGTGATATATTGATAGATGAAGAGAAACAGCAGCTTAAGATTGCACTTAAGTTAGACTCATCGAATTTAAGCAATGAAAAAACAGAAATGGAATTATTCCACGCCGCCATAGTTGTTATGAGAAAAGGAATGTTCCCATTGAAAATATAAATGGTTGTAAAAATTGAGAAAATAGGAAAAAAAAAATGGATGGTCAACATCTAGAGAAACGAGAAAATAAACAAGAAGGGGATATAGAGATTGTTCCACCAAGGAGTCATCTGTACTCTGAAAAAAAGGTTAGTGATTTTCTAGAGGATTCTTCTTCTGGAAGTCAAAATAAACTTGGAAGGCACTCTGTGGAGGTCTTTGTAAAGCGGGATAACCATCGGAAAGCAAAGGACACCAAAGCTTCTTCATCAACAAACTCTAACAGTGGAAATCACTGCAAGGATGGAAGCCACGAGAATGAGTACAAGAAAGGATTGAGGCATGTTCTCTGGCTTTCTACAGAATTCCCACTACAAACTGAAGAGCTTCTACCAGTGGCTCAACATTTTGGTAAATAAAGTTAAAGTTGTACGACGATTAGAAGAAGTTGAGGGTCGAGAAACTTGAACTCTAACTTCTTGAAGGAACAACAACATTAGAAGAAGTTGAGGGTAGAGAAGCTTGAACTCTAACTTCTTGTATTTCCACATTTCGTGGTTTCAAACTCCCACTAACTTCATCATTCTCAATTAACCTAACATTTCCAGTTTCAACAATTTTAGTACTATGCTTAGGACAATAAAATCTATACTCTGATTTTTCTAGATAACCATTGAAAAACCCACTTATTGTTTTTGAATCCAGTTTCTTTTCATGTGAATTATAATTTCTTGCTTCTGTCGGACAACCCCAAACATGTAGGTGCCTTAAATTAGGTTTTATTCCCATCCGTAGTTCAAAAGCAGTCTTTAAAACTGCTTTAGTAGGAACCCTATTTTGCAAATATAGCAGTCATTAATGCAAACATCTACAAAGAAATGGATAAAGAAGAATCACTTAACTTATACCTAACCATGTCTATTAGAGTACGATTACGCCTTTCAGCTACACCATTTTGTTGTGGTGTGCCGACATATTGTATTGAAAACATATCAAGTCTTTCAAGAAATTTAGCAAATGGACTAGGGTTTTGTCTAGTTTCATCATACCTTCAATAATATTCACCATATCTATCAGATCTAATGATTTTCACATTTCTGTCTAATTGTCGTTCAATTTCATTGACATAGATCTCTAAAACATTTACAGCTTGAGACTTTCATGTAGCAGATAGATTTAAACATAATGTGAAAAGTCATCAATAAAGATGATAAAATACTCGTCTCCACCAAATGATGGAACATCAAAAGGCACACATATATAGATGTGTATTATTTCAAGAAGTTGTGTGCTTCTTGTGGCTCTCTTTTTTTGTGTGTTTGGTTTGTTTGCCCTTAATACAATCTTCACTGGTTTCCAAATCAGTAAAATCCAAGTCAGGAAGGATTTTATTTTTTACTGGTCTTTCTATCATTTCCTTAGATATGTGATCCAAATGTTTGTACTTCAAATTAACAGATCGTTTATTTAATAAATCACGTTTAGTACCAAATTTTGATGCAATGTTAAAAGTGTCTCGACAAAAAGGTTATCAAGCTTTAATTTATATAAGTCATCACAAAGGTAGCAAAACCGATAAGATGATTTATTTTAAACAAACTCAAACATCCATTTCCACCATTAAAGAAATATCCAGAAGAATCAAGTTTTGATAAAGAAACTAAATTGCGAGAAATAGAAGGTACATAAAGATTTTGAAACAAATCTAAATGATGTCTTGTATCTAAAATCAAATGGTAGGTTCCAATGGCTTCAACAGAAGCTTTGACTCGATTGCTTATGAGAAAAACACTTTTCATTTGGATTTATGGTCCGGATTGAAATGAATCCTTGCATCGTATAGGTAACGTGGGTGGAACATCCGCAATCAATTCACCAAGTATTATAAGGAACATCTGTCAAATTAGATTCGAAATATACATAAGAAATAATTTTACCTTTACTTTCGTACCATGCCTTACGTTTCAAGCAGTCCTTTTTATGGTGTTCAGGTTTACAACAGAAATGACACGTATCTTTCTTGTGTTCTTTATTATAGATTTGGGCAGAAGACTCATTTATCTTTAGCGGTCCTTGCTTAATGTCCTTTCCAGATATTTTCTTATATTTCTTTTCAGCTCCTTGATGACTTACGAGATGAACAGAATGAGTTCCTTGATTCTTAAGCCTTGTCTACTCTTACACAAGCATGCTGTACAATTCATTCACATTTCATTTGTACTTTAAGGTATTATAGTTCATATGGAATGGACCATACTCAAGAGGCAAGGAGTTGATAATAAACTGTACTAGAAAATTCTCATCCACAGTTATCCTAAGAGTCTTAAGTCTTGCTGCAATATCACTCATTTCAGTAACATGCTCATGCATCGTACGAAAACTAAAAGGAGTTGATGATACACTATAATAGAAAGTTTTCATTCACAGTCATCCCAAGAGTCTTAAATCTTGCTGTAATGTTACTCATTTCAGTAACATGCTCATGCCTGGTACGTGAACCATCAAATTTCATGGTGGTTAGGATACCCATCGGTGTGCCAGTAAGTGATTTGTCAGCTGTTTGGAAACGTTTTTCCACAAACTTTATATATTCCTTAGCAATCTCAGTTTTAGGGATAGTGGACTTGGTATTCTTTGCTAAGATCATCCGCATAAATATTAGACTTAATCTGTTTGATCTTTCCCAAATCTTATGGAAAGATCTTTCATCAGCACTGTTCTCATCAGTGAGATCAGCATGTTTCTCAACTCGAATAGTCAAGTCTAAGTTCAAAATACCTAAGTTGAACTGGACTTGTTCACACTAATCAGAGAAATTGTTCCATTGAACAGTGATACAGATGAAGCATGCGAATCCAGAGAAACGGGAACATATACTACAAAATATAAATACTCTAACATTAATACTTTGAATTTTGACTCAAACACAAATTCATATTCAGATAACATTAAATGTATACTGTAGTTCTTCTTTGGGTAATACTATGTCATACCATCATAATAAACATAATGATGCTAATTAATTTCACTTAATTGATAATTAAATATATCATAATCTATGTTATCTTTTATCTACAAAATACATCTAACTAAATATATCAATTAACCACGATAATGTTCAAGATTAATAAAATTAATTGATCAGCCTTTGGGCGATTTATAACAATTTTATAATCTATGAACATCAATATACTCTTGACAACAACAATAATAATAATGTCATCTTCATTTATAAGCATCAGACATCAAGAATACCTAACAAATAAATTATGTAATTTAGTGTTCACAACTCTATAATGCTTGGCCACTTTGGTAACTAACAAACAACGTTAATTGAATATTAATTACATAAATAAAACATATATATAAATGATTAATCAAAACTTTTGAATGAAACAATTTTCATCCCAATTTAAGTGTAAATTAATTACCACATAATCTTTATTCATTATCAACCATAAATAAACAAAACACAAAACTTAAGCTATTAAATTAGACATAATCTTAATTCATAATGCAATTGAACATGTTTCTTCAATGGCCTTAACCTTAATACGAGTCAGCAGCGGAAAATTTAGTCCTTGTCAGTTTCGTATGGGGTCCCATTTCTTTAAATGGGTCAAGTCAATACTATAGTTCATGTCCTACTCATTCATGGATTTCATCAAACAGGAGAAGTGAAATTGTAGGTAAATAGGACCCGAAACTATACACATATTTTGATGGACACATCATCATCAACCGAAGGTAACAGATGAGAATTCATTAACATCTTAATAAAATTCTCCAAACATGCAATTATGCGGCAACTACAAGGGCCAAAACAAAGTCATGGCAATTGTGTAATCTTAACCCCACCAGATAGTTATTTAAACTGTGATTTTCTTGCTTAGATTATTCATTACTCTCAAATTCAGCAAGCATAATTACAACAGCACTGAATTACTAATTAAACATGAAACCTTAATTGTATTCTAATTTTAAACGTTTATTCATTAATCGATAAAAAACAATTGAGGATGTATAAATGAAAAACATTAATCTTTAAAGGAAAATCAAGAATTCCCTAATTTGACTCTGATACCACATGTAAGTAATTAAAAAAACCCTAATACCAAGATCTTTAGAATTCAATATTTTCACATATAGATTTAATTGATCAAAAAAATACCTTGATCCATAGCAAAAATTGAAATATTTAAACCTCCAAAATGAAAAACTAGTAAAATCTAGAAACCGTTCTCTCTCTTTTCCTCTCTATAATTGAATGTTTTAATTTGATGGATTTCATTTACTTTTATAGGCAGAGATGGGTAATTTCATGGGCCATAAAAGAAAATTACCAACTTTTCATCAAAGTGGACAGTTATTAAACTGCCACTTTTCAATGTACCAATAGAATTTTAACAATAATTAACCACTATTAATTAATTTATTAATAATATTTTTTTGGACCAAATTAATTGGTCTTACAATTTAAACAATCAATAATGCGAATTTTGTGGCATCACACATTATCAACCTTAATGTACACTTTGCATGTACAATTAGCATAATTATATATATATATATATATATATATATAACCTCTGACACTAAGCGATAGAAATCTCAGTGATTTGCTTTTTGATCTGTAAAGAGGAGTCACCTCTATTTCTATTTAATGCGGATAATAAATGGCTTCCTATAACAACTAATCTACGTATTTGTCGATTTTCTAGATAGATATTAATTGTTTCTTTAAAACTTTCTAAAGAACAATAAAGCAATTTATAATCATCTAATGGCATAAAATGTACGGCATAATTTTTTTTTCTGAAATTAAAGAAAACAATATATTTGTAATAGCCTTAGAGTACTTTATCGTTCAGCAAATTAATTTTTTTCGAATACTTTTTTTTTTTTAACTTTCTCTTAGCTTTTTTTTTGACCTTCTAAAAGGCTTAAGACTATAACCTAAAAAAAATTCATCATATCCGAAACGTATTCTTCTTCTTCTTCTTCTTCTTCTTCTTCTTCTGTGTCTGATTGTTTTTCTGCTGATTCATCATCCATTTCTTGAAAAGCCATCAAATGAACCTGCTTTTGTTCAAAATTAGGGTATGGAATTTTTTCTGTTTTAACCCTTAAAGCAAGATGCTCTTGACAGAAAATAACTTCATTGTTCTATTGGGCTACAAGTCTGGAATCATTACTTAGATCTTCCATTAATGCCACGTTTATGTCTTATTTTATCAAAGTTTTAACCATCGTTTGTCTTAACCTTCTAAAAAGGTTTAAGACTATAACCAAAATTTTTTTTCATCATATTTAAAAGGACTTTTAATAAACTTACTTAATAAGTAGAATAGCCAACTTAACTCAGAGGATTACTTTATCTTTTTGGTCATGGAATCCAGAATAAAGAGGCTAAAAGCGT